TGTTCCCGGGCAGCGGGCCCCCGATGCGCGCCGGCCCCCGCCTCCTCTCCTTCGACGGCCGGGATGTCCTGCGGGATGCGGGCTGGTGAGTGCTGGGGGGGAAAAAAAGAGGGGAGATGTCCTAGACCGTGTAGGGTTTGGGGGGGCAGCAGCAGCTCCCTCACTTTTCTCCTTTGCAGGCCGCAGAAGAGCATCTGGCACGGCTCGGATGCCAAGGGCCGGCGCTTGCCCGAGAGCTACTGTGAGACGTGGCGGACGGAGGATGGAGCTGTGACGGGACAGGCGTCCTCGCTGGGCTCTGGGAAGCTGCTGGAGCAGGTGGCCAGCAGCTGCCAGCACTCCTTCATCGTCCTCTGCATCGAGAACAGCTTCATGACTGCCGCCAAAAAGTGCCCCCCCACCCCCATCCCTCTCCCCTCTGCCTTCCCGGGGAAGGGTCGGGCCAGCCTGCACCCCCCGGCGCTTCCGTGGTCCTCAGCCCTTCCAGCACCTGCCCTTGCCCCCTGGCAGGGTTTTCTTCTCCTCCTGAAGACCTGAAGCCAAAGAGTATCCTCATGGCCCCTGCTCTGGGAAGGGCAGGGGCTCGCATCCCAGCTGGGTCAGGACAGTCAGGGGCTGGCTGCCTTCCTCCTCCTCCCCTTGGCTCCACTTCTCTTCTAACCCCTAATATTTAACCACTTCACTGCTCAGATGCTCTTTCAGGGTGGCTGGGCGGGAGGATGCTCCGCGGGGAGATGTCAGCACTGGTGTGCCCTCCTGGAGGTGCAGGAGTGGGGTTCTGTCGCCTCCCCCAGCCCCACACCGTCCTCACCAAGGAGCTTGGGGCTGGATCCAAATCCCTGCTGCTGGGGCCACGGGGTCTCCACCAGCTGAAACCCCAGCATCCCACCTCCGTCCTCCCCAGGTAAGGCCCACGCTACCCAGTCTCATCATCATCCTCACCTCCTAACCTCCCCCCTCTTCCAGCCAGCAGCTCAAGAGCTTGGGGCAGGGGGGGCAGGACCCCCCCATCCCCTCTGCACACCTTCAAGCCCTCCTTCCATGCCCCTCCGTGAGCCCTGGTCGGTGTGGGGACCAGGGCCATGGGGTGTCCTTGGCATGTGTTTACGAGCACGTGTGGTACCAAGTGCAGGCAGCCACCATCATCCCCCCTCTCCAGGCCACTCTCACTGTGCCCTCAGGGCCAAGGCACAGCAAAGATGGTTTGAATTGGTGTGGGCAAACCCAAGGTGCTAAAAAAAACCAACAACCAACCAACAAAACCCCACAACAGAAAAAAAAAGAAATCTGTAACTAGCTTTTTATTATTGTATGGAAATTATTACCATAAAAGCTGTGCGAGTCACACGGTCTCTATTTCTTACAGTCTACTGTATTTTGTGTAATTAATGCAATTCAAAGCCTGTGGATCTTTATATTTTTTTTGTCAGTTGTGTCCTAGAAACCATTTTTCTAAAGGCACTGAATAAAGAAACGTTATCCTCTTGTAGCCTGGCTCCAGGCAGTGATGGCAGAGTCAGTGGCTGGGAGGGCACCCAGACCCCATCCCTACCCCTGCATGGTTCCTGGTGGTGGCAGCCATGGGCTGCCCCTGCTCTGCTTGTCTTTTGTGGCTGAAGAAGGGCTAGGGGGGGACAGCCCCTGCCCCCTTGGGGCAGAAAACGGGTGGCCAGGGCTGTGTCCTCAATGGGCTGGCACCATGGACTGCCCAGCAGGATGGGAGACGAAGTACGTGGTGATGGTCACTCTTGTGGAGCCGAGTCCCAGCCGAGGTGGTCACGCTGGTCATGGTGGTCACTTCTGGTGGTGGTGGTGGTAGTGCTTAGGCTCACACAGCATCTGCCTCTGGGCTCTTCTCCTGCACTGGCACCTTGGCAGGGAGCTGGCATGGCTCCTTGGCCAGGGCCACCTCCCTGGGCTGCTTGCAGCGGCTGGGCCGGGGGGCCCCCCCGAGAACTGGCCC